GTAATCTGTATGTTATGTTTATGCCATAATGGGAATTATAAGAATTAAAACTCGAATAACACTTAAACCAAGCAAAAGCTCATTTGCTCTTGTTTTACTGATGAAATTAGACTACACTCAAGAAATACATTAAAAAATCAATAATCTCTTTGGCTTGTCTGGTGAATTGTTTTGGCTCATTTTTTCGTGTTTACTAATCACGTTCTACGACCGTTCTAAATCCCTTTTAATCTTTTGCTCTGAAAGAGTTCTCTAGGCGCCATCATTCCTATTTGTTAATTTTGACAGTAGTAATCGGTGTCTAGACATGGTAGTAAACCTCACCAATTGTGCAGGGGCAATTGGTAATGAAATATTGTTTTAATAGTTCTGGTTTTTTATCTGTTAGACTTGTAATTATCCATTGTTTCTTCAGTTCCAACAACATTACTCTGCTTAAAATAGTAAGTTCTAATCTTGTTCTAATTTCAATTTTCTTTTTATAGACTCTTCAGTTCTCAATTAATCACTTTTGAGACAAACAGGAATTTGGATGAGGCTTTGGGGGTTTAGCGTGGTACGAAAATTTGAATTTTTAGTTACCGTGTGTAGGTAGTGATAAAAACTGAAAGAGCGAGAAAATATAAATCAACTTCTATGCTGCTTCCTGTTGTGAAAATGATTTTTCCTATTTGGGCTACCTTACAGCTTTTTTATAACATGCTGTTTGTCATTTTGAGTGGACACGATCAGATTAAACTGTCAATTTTTAAATTATATGTTCAGACTGCAAACACCTTGCCTTGGAATTTCATGAGAAACCACTGACTACATTTTACGCTTCTCCTCTTCATTAATAAAAGACATGCCGCAACGATCTCACATTAGAGAAGGTTGTTTTCCTTTACATTATAGTAACCTACGTAGAACGTCTAAAACGAGTCGCGAAGGAGGTCAAGACGCGCCAGGAGATAAGAAGCCTATCTCTGTCCTCGAGTGTGTCCTCCTCTCTCGCGCGCACCCTTATTTCTTTCTTATAACAAAACACCGTGCAACACAAAGAATCTTCAGTTATGATCAAAATAACTAGATCAAATATGAAATGCAACTTTTGGGCTTCTTAAAAAATGTTGTAACATTCACATTGTCGTGTTTTCCTAGTAATAGACCCCTGGGGGGGGGGAGAGGGTACTTCCTATGATGGCCTATGCGGGGAGGCTCCGCTCGAAAAAGGTATCTTTTTCAGCCTCCAGGTATATGAAAGGGTAGAGCTTTCACTAGCTGAGGTTATAAAAGGGGTAGGTAAATCTGCCATTTGGGTCTTTCATAGGGCCCAAAAGGGCTAACAGGTGAATTCTATAAACAAAACTGAATGCAGGACATGCAGGGCTGGCACTGCGGCAAAGGGCTGATTTATTATAGGCCAATATTTCGGCTGACAAAATTAGCCTTCCTCAGGGCCATAGCCCTGTAGGCTACAGCATCTCTTTAATTAGAGATCTGCCAAGAGGAGCCGTTAAATTTACGTGTTGCGTGGACCTTTTCCTAGATGAATTTTATGGCTTTATAAAGTCAAGAAAGCGGTCTATTTTTTTGATTGATTCCTTTTTAAAAGACCGCATTTTCAGCAGTTAAAAGGGATGCAAAGCTCTAAACAAGGTCTGTGAAAGGGGTACCATTTGTCAATAGAAGGTATATGAAAGGGGTACCTTTTTTGTGAAAAATGGTATATAAAAGGGTAAGGGGTTGGACCTCAGGGCGGAACCTCCCCGTATAAATATTTGTTGAGTACCCCACCCCCCCCCCAGACATGTCTAGTCCTAGACATGTACAAGAACCGATGTGTCTCTACTTTAGAATTGAATTTAAGGATTTGTAATGTCATCTTCATCTTGGTCCTTCAACAAGAGGGGAGTTTGAAGTACCCGGAAAAAGACTTATCGGCGGTAAATCCTCTATATGCCCCCCGGGGGAGCTTATTTATTTCAAGCCCATTTGAGGCGGAGCGGGGGGGGGGCTTATTTAATTAAGAAACGACGATGTTATCAGTCCTCCATAAAGTGGAAAAGCTCTAGTACAAGACGTTTTGGATCATGCAGCCGAGAATCAGAATCAAATCCGAACTACCAGTTGGTAATTAAACCATCTTGGATCAGTCCATAGGAAGTTTTACAGTCGTGATTGATTAATACAGTCTATCATTTATTAGTGTAGAACAATTAGGGGAGGGGTGGGGGAATCTTATTAACTTTCTTCCCCTGAAAAGGGGGGGTTATTAGAGGGAGAGGGCTTATTTGAGAGGGGGGGGGGCTTAATAGAGGATTTACGGTAAACAACCGTATGGATGTCGCCTCTGGCTGCATTTGTGTGAAGCCAGGCGAGTGATCCTCACTACCCACAGCGCCATCTCGGGCTGATCCCATTCCGGTCTCTTTATTATTCACCGATGATCAACAGCTCTTTCCGCTCTAGAATATATGTTGTTCTTAGTATTAATGGAGAGATATTTGTATCTTAACACCAGTTTTTTTCTTATATCTGTGCTGTGTCATTTTGTAAAAAATGTTTTAAACTAAACAAAGGTACAAAAAACGCAGACGTGTATTATCTCGGCATAAAATGTGGAATTTTATGTCAGCGCTGAGTTTTTATTTTGCAAAAGCAGCTGTTCCAATCCACTATGGAAAAAACGTCATTGGCAACTTTAGTGACATATTTTTTGGTTATGATTGTAAACGGCATCGCATGTAACTTGACAGTACAATTATAAAAAAAAAACTTTGTTTCCGTCAAGGCCATAGTTTGTTTTCTACATTTCATGCATTTTAACAAGCTTTCACAACCTAAAATTTCATTCTTTGTAATTTTCAAAACCTCAAATTTGATATCTTTTAATTGCACTTCTGTGAGAAGTCAAGTAAAAGTCACGATTTCGAGGAAGTACTGCAATTTATGGGCGTAAATAATGTTAATATAATTAAGGCCTGCAATAACATGCTATTTTCAAAATATTTCTTGTCAAGTGCTTTTTTAATTATTGAACAAAACAATTTTTTTTTACATCTTGTTGAAAAATACTGGATTAAACGAGACAATATTAATATCTCAAAAACTTTACACATTATCGCGCTATTTTTGTCGCGGGTGTGTTCAATCCTGAACTGTGTTGTGAAGTTAAAAGACTATTCAAAAAGAGGTCTGATTTAAATTATGTTATATTAAGGGTTCAACGTAAAGCACATTTATACAGAGAACATTTGTAAAGATCAGTGCCCCGCCATCTGTCTGCGCGAGAATATTTTATACTTAAAATATGTTAAAAATGCTGTTAAATGGAATTTTCTATTATTTACACTTTCTTTCCCACAGATAGGAATGTTTTAGTTCTGGCGAAATAAGCCTTAAAGGTAAAAATGAGATAAAATGTTTAGAATGGAGTCGCGTCTGTCGGCGGACGAAATGCAACACAAACCAAATTAAACTAACTTTAACAAATGAGATAACTTCTGAACCAACCTAGCATTCAACAAAGCAAGACTAAACAATTTTTATATTTGTATATCATTTGTTGCAAGTAATCCTGTTTAACAACGAGACAGCAATTCTAGTTCAGATGTGAAGATTGGCATCTTAACACTGATTCTTCGACATAGTATGGAGGTGTAGCGAGTTTTATCCCTCTAGATAGCTAGTAAGACTTGCTTTGTTAACTTTTTTACGAGATGTCGCTTTTTCTCCGTCATGAAAGTTTAATTCAGTTATAACCTAGAGTTAAATGTTGTTTAAGTGTTACGAGCTAAAGTACATCAATCTTTCTTGCAGGACTGTAAGAAACCGGGCCTGATGTTGCGTGCGAAACACTGATTAACATTGAGGACATTTAAGCTTGAATAATGTTGCTACAGGTTTAATCGTGTTTTATTGCTTATAATACTTCTTTAATCCGCCAGCAACATACTTATAAACAGGAGGAAAGCTGACCAAGAACTCATCCCTTTTAAAGTCTCTTTCAACACAAAGTTCTTAGCCGTGGAGAGTGAAAAGTGTCCAGGCGTTTTTTTCTTTTTCATCTTCAGAAACAACACAATTTTGAACAAAACGCAGCCTTAACTTCTTAACCAGATTCATGTTCATTACTACAAATAAACTTCTGGTGTATCTAACGTGAAGAGTCCATTTTCACGCTACAACAGTACAGTCGTGAGCCCATAATTGGAGCTCTTTTTTAAAATAAAGTTGTCTTTTACATTTTAAAAACGGAGTTCTCCTCGTAAGTATATTAGCCACAGAATTTCCTGCAAAGAAGTCGGGTTTAATTAAGAGAGAATGAGGTTTAATACAATATGTATGTTTTTGCGAGTTTAGATCGGTTGTCAAGGACTGAATTGATATCCGGTGCGTATGGACATATCAAAAAAAAAAAGTTGGATACGCCATTGTAATATGTCCATAGGCGATTGGTGAGTGGCGATTAATTATTTTCAACGTGTCTGTAAATTGTGTATCTTGACACGAAATCTTTTTGTATTTATTAGAAGGCAATTGTAAACAGCTGCAAGTCTGATAACGAACATTGTTTAGCTTGATAGGCGGTTTTTTTTCTTTCTGAAGCAACGTAGAACGGGCTGTTTGGAGCACGAAATAACAATTTGGCAACGCTGATTCTTTTAAAAGAAATCTAACAATATCTTCAACTATCATCTTACAATAAAAAATCAACCTCCTCTTTAAAGATATAAAGACTACTTTCTAGATACAAGAGCCTGAATATTGAATGATAAAAGCCTGTCCACCAGACGCCATTTCGTCTTTTTCAGACAACCCATTGTTTGTAATAATATCTACGCTTGGGGCACAGAGAATCTTCCAGAAAAACATACGTCTGGCTGTTAAATTTCTTGTTTAAACTTTTTGGATCTTATATGGCGACATATTAAGTTTAACAAAGTCAACATGGTGCTTCCAATCCATCAGTTTCCGTTATAATTCTTCAACTAATAAAATCGCCGACAAATAATCCAGCGACATATTGTACAGCACAATGACCACTGAGGGTTTGTTTCTTTCAAGCGAGTTTTTATTTCAAAATTACCATTTCTTTTTCGCCTACAAATATTCTCTTTTATCTACAGAATTTAAAATTAAATCATCTATATTACACTTCGTAATCCAGGGTTTGTAAGTACTTAGAGAATTTTTCCCCTTGGAACAGAATTAAATTACAACGCCTTTGTATTAAAAAAATCTGCAAATAGAACGAACCTCTCGTAACACTTAGTGTTAAACCTAGACGAACAATTTCGAGACCTAGTTTTGCATTAGACTGCTTTTAGCAGGCCAATGTCGTCGCAAACAAATCAATGGCTCAAAATATTACTAGAATAGTTAAACACAGTATTTCATACTGTAGAATTCGCCACACACAACACGCTCAGCACACCAAAACAAAATCCACATAAAATTTTTGTGTTTTGACACCAGAATTTGTTTTAGAATCCTCACTTGTTTCGGTTTAAAAAACGTCGTACACTCTGTTTATATACAAGTTAAGTCTTTACAGTAATTCGAGTAGCGAAGTTCCTTCGCTTGTTCCTTTCTATCGAGCTGATAGGGTCGTTAAAGCTAAGGCTGCGTCGATTTCTCGGTAGTTCGTTCCCTCTACACTTCTGCTGTGGAGAGAAGCATACAACAATAATATCAATATATATGAAAAACACATTCGGCTCGACAAATACAAACCAGAGGAAAAATAAAAGGCCCTTTTTGTGTCGCGATAAGAACTACTACTGTCTGAACTGAAAATCGCCCCCAAGCAACTGGTCAAACTCACTAATTTCGGTTGTGTTCTGTAAGGACTTCGTGCAAGTCTCTCCATCTCTGAATGACTTTAACTCAAGGGAGAATGTTTTGTTTTTCACAGTGGTTATAAACCTGTGTTTCAGTAGCAACACCGCCTAAAACCGCTTGTTGCAGACAGTTTAACATACCGTATGTTTCCTACTTGATGTCTTTCAGGAAATAGTTAACATACACGAAGAGGATGTCATTAAAATCTCACCTTGTTGAAACTGGACTGTAAACTCGCGCTGTTTCCTCTCGTTTACAATTCTCTGTTATATTTTCTACAGGCGACCTAGAACATCCTTGCGATGGTATCGTGCTTTCTTTCTTCTCTGTTTTAAGGAGAGAAGGCGTTGAATTTCGAAGGACAGAACCTACAATTAAAGAGGAAACGTCAAAACAGAGGGTTAACCTTATAAACATGAAAGAAAAGCTTAAATTCCGGCATGGAAGCCTATTAAAAACCAATAGCTCCAAGGAGCGTCGCCTTGTTACCTAGGGTACGCATTTTCAACAAGACTTTGAAAGGAAAATGTTACCACAACCCGACATCTTGGATCAGTTGAAGCTATGTGAATCTATACTTCTTTTCGGCCCGTAGCTTTTAGCGATTTTTGTTCTCTTTAAACTCCCTGTCTGTGCATCTTTGATGGTCTTTAATTTTACCTGTGTTTTTCAAAACACTTGAAGTCGATACAAATTACTCTTCAACTCGGAGTACAAAAGAAACCAAGGTATTGAAATAAATACCGCGCTAATTCACACTTAAAAAATGAGAGAGAAAATATACGAATACTGGTGGAAAGTCTGTTTGCGGGAAGTGTTAAACGCTGTTAGTATTTCATGGCAAAATGCAATTACTAACTCATCTATAATTGAAAGGCAACATGTTACCAGTATTCCAGGTTCGTTTTAGTGTTGTTCCAAAAGATAACGTGTAAATTGACGCCAATTTTGTGAATAGCAGGAAAGTCCAAAAAGTTGGATTTTCTAATCGGCAGACGTCGCTTGTGTACAACAAAATTGGTCAACCGCTCTTGTCGGGTTAGGCCGGAATCTAGAAATACTTTTCATTATAGACATAGCGCGGTTATTTCAGACAAAGGAAAAGTGATTTTTATTGAAATACCAATACCCTATTACCATCATTCAATATGACCATCGCACAATTTTTTCATACACACAAAACGTGAATGCTGGTCTAAGTTCGACGAAAAACACAGTTTTTGTTTCAATTCCCCTTTAATACTAGACGCCTCGCCAAGCCTCGCCTGACCAACAGTTGGTTCAGTTCCATTCTATTGAATGAAACAACCTTCGGTTGTAAGCGACCGATTCTACTTCACGCCAACCTGGCTTACAATACTAATTTGCCGCTATGCTGGCGTTTTTATCCAAAGAAAATCTTCCTAGTACTGTTTGGTTGAACAGATTGTACAACTGCACTCAAGAAATTCTGTCCCAACTAGCAAGATTTGCGACGAGGGGCCAGTCGCAAAATTATGTCTTTCTTGGTTTGAAAACGGTGACCTTTTTAGTGTAAACTTAAAACAAAAGTGGAAATTTGCCATTCTTAGTCTCCAAATCAAAGTTCACCGCGTCTGTGATAATGATTGATATCTTTGTAACGAAGTCTCGATCCCTAAAGCCCCCTTTGCAATTCGATATAGACAGGTACATAGTATAGAATAATTAATCAAGAAAACCAAAAAACTAAATTCAGTTTGCTAATCCCGGTAAAATCTGTAGACTTGAACATCAATGCAAGGCTTTTAATTAAGAGACAAGTTACTGTAATGATTATTTCGCAATTGCACGAAAGTTAATCTTCGCTAGGGAAGAAAGAGAAAGAAATGTAATTAACGAGAGTCAAAAGAGGTCAGGGAAGGCTTAACACAGAACCAAATCCTTGAACAAACGAACTCGCTGAGAGGCAACTGAAAAAACATTAAAGTTCGAAGCTTAAAGCGTGAGAAAAATCGAAAAAAAATTAGCAGATTAAGAAGAAAGAAATGTTCAGGAGCTTTCATTTGTGGTCCTAGTGAAAGGTTTGTACCACAGGCAAAAGTTACGCGAACGTAGCTTTTCCAGGGCTTTGTCTGTGGATTGAAGAGAGATTACAGTGTGATCTGCGTTTAACATTTACCTGAAATAATAAGGGAACTTTCTGTAGAGGTCTTTTGCGGAGGTGTCGAAGGAGGAGTTTCACAAGGAGTTGGGCTGATATTCACTACGTTTATAGGCGTGTTGTGAAAGCACCCATCCACCCATTTTCGAAGACTTTTAACCGGTGAATCTTCGACGGTTGGCTCAGCGCTTGTTACACACTGTACAGACCGTACAGCTTGAAAGCGAATCACCGGGTTCGTCGTCGTTTTGCTAGGTAAACTGTCCACTGTGTTTAAATTAAAACTGTTCTTGGTTTGTTGTTGAGTTTCTCCATTCGCTTGAATGTTTTCCTTTCTTTCTTCCTTGTCACTTTGTTCTGTTAAGCAAATAAAATTAAGAGGCAGTTCTTTTCAGTTTAAACGATTTTGAGAAGGCAATACCAATTTAATAGTAATTTTCCACCAGCCCTTCCAGACAAAAATCATTAAGATGGATATTGGTAAAATGTTTTCTTTGTTGTAGAAAATAATAAAAAATATATATTTACTTGATAACACTTGACAAATAACATTTTTGATACCGCCTGCAAACACCACATTATCTCGAAAAACATGCACTGTATATTGCATTTCCGATGTTCCAATTCCACACGTTTTAAGCATGTTAAATAAGCCATATTCCGCTTACGCCTATTTAAAGACGGTGTAGACATTCACTCTTTGAGACGCTGACAATACACGCCTTTAAGCCAAGAGCTAATCCTTGATAAGTTTTAACTCGTGGTTACAAGCAAGATTTTTGGTCAAATCAGTTTAAGAATACAGTATGTTTAACGTACAATACCTTTGATGACAGTTTGATTTTCGCCTTTACTATCACAAAGTTTGTCATCATCGCAGCTTTGATCTTCGTCTGAGTCACTTGCTCCTTCATCATCGTCCATTCCGTCTTTTTTCTCGCCACAGCGATTTCTCGGAGACCAGGTCATCTTATTTTCCTTCTTAAGTCTTCGCCTTGCGTTTGCAAACCAAGTTGAAACTTGAGTTAATGTCATCTTTGTTATAATAGCAAGCATGATCTTTTCGCCTTTCGTAGGATAAGGGTTTTTTCTGTGTTCATAAAGCCAAGCCTTAAGAGTACTCGTCGTCTCCCGTGTGGCATTTTTTCTCCTCGCGCCTGCTGCAGCCAGATCGATTGGCGAAAACCTACAGAACATAAAACCTGCTTCAGCTATTGTTCGGGAAACAAGGAACCACCTATATGTTGTTTGCTTATAAAATTGATTATTTTCAACTGTATCAGTATATTGAAATGATTGGTGAAAAAACCTATCTATAGTTAAGCTCTTCCGCTACAACTGCCCACAAATTGAGAGAGGTTTACCTAGCCGGTCGCTTCAAAGGTAAGAAATTATAAAACCATTCAAATGTAACTGAATACATTGAACGGGTTTGCTGGATGCAGTCGCACGCACACGAGGCGCTTTAATAGCTTTCTTAAGTGGTGAAGTAAGTAACGGCATACACATACACACACCGTTAATTTATTTACCTTTCGCCCAGCCTTGAACAAGCTGTATGGGAATGAGGGTCAAATCCGTGTACTTCTAGAGGATGTCGAGCAGACGCTTGAAAATACCAGGAATCTCGCCATTCTTTGATATCGCACGGTCGAGCCTATCGCCAACAAATAAACCAAAAAAAAAATGAGGCGAGAGAAGCGACCTAGTGGATCGATTATAGCTCCAATTAACTTAATGAAGGGGAAAAACTCTTAAGTTGTACTTACACTAGAGAATACACAAGCAATAAAGAGAGGTAGATAGGGGAAAAGGCGATAAAAATAACCAGGGTAGAAACTGAGTGAGAATCAGACAGAATCTGAAAAAACCGACAACTCACCAAGGGTGAATAGAAAGCAGACAGGTCCGTAGCACCTATTGTGAAACCAGCGTCGCTGAATGTAGGTCTTGGAAGCAAATTCACAGGCATTGTAGAAATTCTATGTTGTAGAACTCTATCTAGCTGACAAGGACACAAGGAATGCGTTGATATGCCATCGTGTATAGGCGATCGAACAGAATCACAACACGAAGCAGTGTGTGCACCCGGAATCATCAACTGCAAAATGCGAGCGAGACGAGTTACACAACATGTCTGGTTTACATGGAGATGAAATTTACATTCGAGTGTTTCATCGCATCGAATACGTTCGACTGCCCGAACAACAAAAAACACGAAAGTCTTACCTGTGGAGAATATGTGCAACCGAGTTGAGCTGGACAAGCTATCTTCGTTGCGGTGGAGTTTGCCATCAAGTGACTTCGATCAATCGGCAAAACAGAGATTCAAATTGAACCACTCGAAAGGTAAATAAATTAAACAAGGAAGAAAAATTGCTATGTTATTTCTTGGCCCGAGACAGGCCGGGTAACTTAATGGCTACTAAGTTGTAGCAGTGACGAGTCGATCGAGATCTCCGCAATGTTGTACTGTACACATAAAGCAAATCACTGAGGGGAGATCAGACTCTGTGTGCTCAACACAATATCTTCCATCGTTTCATCTTGTAGTTTCCATAAGCACTACCGTCAGTTTTGACACTTTGTGACACAGCCTTAGCTGGTTGAACCAATCGAATTAAACGGGGAACAAGCTTTGTATTGAAAACGCGAGAAAGTGATTGGCAGATCTTGACTTGTTAACTAGGCTAACATTTATTATTGTCTATTGCCAACATGGAAATCGACACGGGTGACAGGGAAAACCCGCCCCACTGGGTGTTTTTGTGGAGCTTTGCTCCGCCCAAGTGGGTGCTATAGGTAACTGTTGTGTCTCATAACAGTGATTGCTGATCAACCGCTTGAAGCTAATGATTGCACCGGCGTAGGACGTTAGATTGTTCTGGTTATTATCGGTATTATGAATGAGATTGTACACCATTCAATGCCCCGACATGACATCTCAAAGGAAAGCGCAGTTGCGGTGGCCTTTGCCAAAGAACGTGCTTATTACTTCTGGAGCTGTGTTTATTCTGTAGCTTTACACTTTCAACAGCGTAAATCAGTAGCGAACGCTTCACCATGTGCAGCGATTGTCTCCGATTCTCAGACTTTTCGAGACTTTCAACTGATAGTCACGCTTTTTCTCGCTGCTCCGTTCCTATCAACACATTTTCCTGACGTTTTCGTTTGCGTCGAGAGCAATAACGGCCTATGGCAGTCTTATCGCGTATTTCACAACCTTCGTTGTTCTTCTTGGCGTTCTTTTGTTTGAGGGAAATGAGGCGCATTTTTCATCAATTCGTACAAAGAACAATATTTACGACGGCAATTCGTGCCAAGATCGAAGCTAAAAATATAACCCACTACAGCTGAGGTCGCCACTATTTTATCGCCTCAGTTTTTCTGGCAACATTGCAGATTTTTTCCGATAACGTAAGCACGGGAAACAGCCACAGCTGGCTAGAGGCTGACATGACAAATAAATTGAATTTTCGTCGTGCGGTTAAAGAATTGATTGATGTCGGTCTGTAAAACATGCATATACATGTATTTAGATGTAATTCAATCGATTATATGACGATTAACAAGTCCAGGTCATACAATTAACTAGCAATTGTTCGAGAAGCATGTACTACATCTAAATTGTCGTTGTGATGATTATTTGAGGAAACCAAATTATCTGGATCGCCCAAGACAGCGCTGATGTTGGTTAGCAACACAAGGCGAGCGGAAACTTGCCGGCTTGTACTCGCAAAGACAAAAAAAATAAACTTGCGTTTTGACAGTGACCTTAGTACTTGGATTTAACAATTAAGTCTACACCCGCAGTGTCTGTTCCTCTTGTATTCATGTTGTTTATATTTCTAAAAACAATAAGCTACAAGATAATGATGTCGTTTGACAAGTCAACCACGTGGGTTTCACACCATTGAAACAACACCGTTTTTCCCATCATCTAAAACGCTTCAAACGCCAAATTTTCAAGCTCTGAATAAGAGGAAATTTTTCTAAAACGCAATGAACTTAGTGCTGAATGATTTCAAAAGGCTTTTGTGTGTTTATCTCTAAGGTGTGAACATCGTCTACAAGATGTCTACTTTTTATGGTAATATCTCCGTTTTTGCAACCGTAATAACTAAGTGTTTGCATTTGAAGGCCATCCGCACGGAAATCGTTGCTATTACACCCTTGCTTAATCTACACAAATCTCTCGGCTGAAATATCGTTATTCATGAAAGGAGCCATTTTCACTTCATTTTTCGGATTTCCCTTCTGAAACAATGAATGCGTGAAAAGTGCAGCTCGTTTCGTTAGTATCAAAAAGCTTTCAAAACTGTAGCATGCCTTTTCTCCTAGTGTGAAATGATATTTGAAAATGTCAGTCCTGTAGAGCTAAATATATTTGCTGACTTAAGCCATCGTGATACACTAATATATGAAATCTAGCTAACAAAGATTTGTAATTGTACATTGAACATTTTTTAATGTTAATTAAAATTTCCCGCGAAATGTACAGTGACGTCATGATTTGAAATGTATTTAAGTGGAACGGCACGCGAAATGCACGTGCAAGTTTCTCTTCGAACAAGGCAAAAATTTTGTTTCCTATAAAAGCAATGAGACTTCTTGAAAAATATTTTTCTAATGGCGATAAAACGAAATCACCCCCTGACAGCTTTAGTTTTCTCCCACGGAGCTCTAATAACGTCCTTCCTACTTTGTTTGCGATCGTGGATATATATTTCTCTTGCTGACGTCCGTTTTACATTTGTCCTTAAGTGTCATGCTTTCTTCTCATGTATGTTTGTTTTTGCTTCTTAGCCCAGTAGATAAGTATGGCATGAGACGATTTATTTCGCGGTGCTGTTTGAAGATTGAATCTTATCTCCAAGAAAAACACAACAAACTTCACATTTTTTGGCCAGTGTTCCTCCGGAAGCCACAAGCGTATGTTGCTTTTTTTACAATTTTTTGTGGGTATGGTCTTGGTTCGTCTATATATTTATTACAAGTTAGGAGCTGATCACTTCAATCGTTACAACTCTCTTAATTTCATCACCCCTCGGTGCCTCGAGAGGATTAAGCAACCACGCATTTACTGTATATGATTGTACGCAAGGAAAAGCGCAAGTTTCACCGGAAATGTTCTCAAACAAAGCTAAGGTTAACCATTAAGCTAAACATTCCTAAAAAGGGCTTTCAACACAGACCTACGCGTTTTGATTAAGAGATAAACAAGTTTCATAATCCTGAACAAAGAGAATTTAGTTTCGATTAAGTTTTCCCTTAACTTTGAAAGGTAAAGATGTCCGCTAGTATAAAACACCATGTCGAAAGCGGAATTTCCGGATGAACCTCACCTGCAAACAAGTTGGACCTACAAGCAACAAAAAAGCACTGATAAACCTATTGGCAAAAGCTGTTAAATAAATGGATTAAAAAGAATTATCATGGGATCTGCTTGGTGTATATTATCGTGCCGAAATCAGGCGATAAAATCAGTAAGATGTCAGACGACGTGTACCCAAGTGTAATTGTTGTTTTTATACTTTTCTTGTTCCAAAAAATTAAGGAAATTTTTAATACTAATAAACATAAGCTTGTATTTATAAGATTAACGGTTACGTGATTAAAGCCAATTGCAAGTCTATTCGGTTCTTCGGTCTTAGTATTGGAGCTAGTATTGTTTTAACAAAACCCTTCACTTTCTTACAAATCCTGTTGTTATGAAAATACTAATATTGAAAGCCGACTTCAGGTTTACTTTCAAAAGACAATCTGCTCCGTGAAGAACGCTAAGGTCATTGTTGCTGGCGAAAGCAGTCCGTGGGTACTGCCACAAAAATTCGGGTCTGAACGGTCCTCGATATTTCCTGAGCCGGACCAAACTATGGCTGATTGTCCCCAACTATTGTGAGCAGATCCTTAACTTATTTTGTCGCTTATACACTCTGATGAACATGATTTCACCTTCTTGTATTCAAATCCAACTGTTTGGCTAATGTACACACCTTGCCTTCAGGGATAAAAATTCAGGACAAATTCTACCTCTTTTTTAGACCATATAACTTTTGGGCTTACATAAAGATTCTACAAAGGAGTAATGATCTACCCGGTTACAACCCTACAGTTGGAACGCTACAAATACACCTTCACGACCTAAAAGGTTATCTATCCATTGGTTAAACGAAATTAACGCTAAATTCCCGTTAGGTGTCATCATTTATTTTCCCTTTACAGTATTTTGTACCGATAAAGTAGATTAACAGACAGGTCAAGTGAAAAGAATGTTAGTGATCAACTTATTCCTTGACATCACTACATTCTTGCATCTGTTAACACTGAAAGGTAACAAGATTACATTTTAAATGCTAACTTTACAAGATTAATTCTTGTAATAAATGCAGAAGTTTTTTTTATCAAAGTAACCTGATTAGCTAAAGCACAAAGTAAAACTTAACATTTCGGCAGAGTCGCAAAAAATCTTGAACGCGAACGAAACATTTTTTACGCCTTCATTCAGCATCCATGCGGTGCCCTCGTAGTTATATTGGACTAAACCCTCGACTGAGCGTCACCAGAACGATTGGTATCAGTGTATAATGCGTTATTATTTAATCGGAGCTTATGGATTGATTGATACCAAAAAGCTACGGTGACTGAAATTTGTTCTTGCATTCTAGTAAAAGGAAAGAAAAGGGTTGGAGGAGATGAGAACAACGAATTAGCGTCGAGGTTCTACTTATCGTCCATTGTTAAGTCACAGTTTTTTCTCTAGTATCTAATTGGAAAACAAAATTGAAAGGAGATATAAAGAGTCATAATGATCTGGAGATTTTGGGCGTGGTGGAGCGAAGGTTAAATTCAAAACATGTCCAATATTGGACCCCGATCGTGATCGAAGGTCTGTGGTTTCCTTAACCGTTTAAGAGCATGTAAAAAAATAAACAGTCTATGATTGCATGTGGCTCCTGCATTATTTTTGTGGAATACTACAGTAAAAAAGCCAGTCTTAAAGGAAAGAAATAGATAAATAGTAACAGAAAACGTCCCCTACTCAATCCATAAAAAAACGCCTCAGTCAGCCCGCTCGATCGCATGTGGAAGGAAAATTGTTATCTGCCAGACAACGAGAATTCACACTTCCAGAGGAAACTTTAACATTTGAAGCGTTCTCTTGAGGATATTCTGCCATAACATGAATTCAAGGATAGATATCATGAAAATTAGCTAGGATTTGACGGTGAAAGAGCCGAACTTAAGCTCATATTGGCTCATTTGAAGACCATATGGTTGGCACAGCCGTCAAAACAACTCGTCTGCGAAACAAAC